GCATGGCCTTGCTGTGACTTCTTTGGGAGATCGCCCTTCTCTCAGTTACTGTGTTGAGGGCAGGAGGCTCTTCCATGCTGATGTCTTGTGCAAATGGCCCAGAACTGGGATGGAATGGAGTTGGAATCTTCAGGTGCCACCTACCCACTCTGTGACCCGAGGCAAGGAAATGCCTTTCCCTCTCTGGCCCCAATTGTTTCAGAAAGGGGATGACCTAGATGGTTCTATAATATAAACATGCAGAGAGGTATTTTTATTCACATCCTGTGGGAACAGGGCATAGTTTCTCAGAATCCGGGAATATAAAACCAGCATCACCATCAAGGGTCTTCGGTCTGCTGCTTTGGAACCTGAATTCCTCCCCCTGAACATACCCTTTGTCTCTCCCCGCAGAAGCTTCAGTCATTCATTTTGTTAAATGCACATTATGTGTGGCCCTGTGTTGGTGATAGACTGAGGTGGTGCGTCCTGTAGTCCTGCAAAGATACTTAAAACCAGTCCCTTGCTCCTTGCACTTTGCAGTCTCTGACAGATAACATGGGCACATAGGCAGTGAGTGATCAGGGACCTCAGAAAGGTACAAACCCAATGCTCTCTGACTGTTCATAGGAGGGAACATTTCTGGAAGATTCCTGGAAAAAGTGGCACTGAACCTTGATGGATGGATGGGGATGGGGATGGACTTGGAGAGGAAGGGAGTCTTGGTGAAGTGAACAGTATGGGCAAGGTCAGGAGGTGGGAATATGCAGGCACCACCTGCAGAGTGGGTGGGGGTCCTTTACCAAAAGGAGGGGTGAAATATTCTTGGGTGCTACTCACATCCTAGTCAGGTGCTGTCACTCCCATCATATATTTAATATATTAAATATTATTATAGTGCATTAAATATTTAAGTCAGTTTGACATCCTCTTTTAATAAAGGGATTACATTCACTCTGTGTTTAGTTTGGGGGTGCGCTTTCCCCACTAAAAAAGATTACTTTTGCTTCTGATGACTCTCCTGAACTTTCCTATCTGTACCCTTTCCTGTCTGTGTCCCTCTGTCCCCGTTCCTGTCTGGCGTGGTCTCCTGTCCGCTCTGGCTACCACCCTAACACTTCATACCTGCCCCTTTGCTTCCTTCTCCTTCCCCTCAGGGACTTGGGGCCAGGATTCTTCTCTGTTCAAATTCTCTGCCACTGGAGCAGACCTCCCAGGTGCCAGCATTTCCAGAGGGACCTTCTGGAGACCATGCCTCTGTCAAACAGAAAGAGACACCTTCACAGTGACATTTTCTGGCAGGTGAGCCAGAGACAGGCAGGCTGGCGATCGAGCCTGGGAAGCAGCAACCTGGCCGTCCATCTCCCTGGCCCCCGGGGGCTCCAGAGAAGAGTCCCCAGTCTTGTCTGCAGCCAGCTGGGCCCCTCACTGTCCTTGCATTCAGGGCCTGGTTGCCTGTTTGTTCCTGGTTGAATAGACTTTCTGCAAAGTTTACCCTCCCGCTGACCTCCAGCTTTCCCCACCCTTCAGGTGCCCAGGGCTCTACCACCAAGCTTCACAATGCAAGGGGGTGAGAAGAGAGTTGACCTTCCCCTATCCTTTAAGCTTCTCTGAAAATGGCCTCCTCCTCTGCAGTGGGGACACCTGTCCCCCCGACAGCCAGCCCTCAGGGACCTCTCAAGACAGTGGCCTAGGCACTTGCCTGCCCCAGAGAGAAGCTAGAGCCCCAACCCTTCAGCCTCTGGTAAGTGGGGAGCCTGGCTGAGGATTAGTAAGGCCCAGAGGCAGAAAAGCGCTGTTCTAGCTTCCTTCAGTCCTGGATTCTCAGTTTTGTCTTCAAGAACTTTGGATTTAGTTCTCCCTCAACCCATGCCAAGATCAGGGTTCTTGGGAACTTATTCTTGTGGCAGGAGGCCTCCCTTTGATGACCGTGTCAAATGAGATGGAAATTGGCCAGGTTGTTATAGGAACTCGGAAGAATCCCTGGAGTGGGAAAATAATGAGAACACGGGGCCATTCACCATTCAGCAGTGGAAAGTGGAGCATTCATTGTCTGGTGGCGGATCCCAAGGCCGCGGGCTTGAGGCAGGGAGCTTGACGCATCACTAGGAAGCTTTGGGTCTGTTGAAGAGAAAGAACAAGGGTCTGACTAAACTCTATGTTCAAATACCAAACTGCTCACTTTCTATCTGTGTGATCTTTAGGAAGTTAAAACAACAATCAACACGAAAACAAACGTATTAAGTCTAGAAGGAAAATTATCCTCACTTTTATAGTGATTATCTCAGTAGTATGTTTACAGGTGACTTAAAATTATTATTTTTTTGTGCTTTTCTGTTCTTCTGACATTTTCTTTAAACAGCATGGATTAATTGGGGGTGAGGGGGACCCTGAAAACACAAAGCTGTCTCCAGTTTGGGAACAAACAGATTCTGGGAAGGCACTCCGGAATTTTGGAACTGATATGCACACGTTGGAAAGAGCAGGGACAGTACTTTCCAGCAGTCAGGCTACTCCCAAGCAAGGAGTTTTCCTGCCCCCTAATGTTCTGGGTTAGACCAGTGCTGGTTACGCAGGCCTGATTGGTCAGGGTGGGCTGGCTGGCTTTTCTTGGCTGGTAGTTATTCCCACGGGTTCAGTACAGGAGATGGCTGTTCATTTCCCATCCTATGAAACCACCCTCTCGGCCAGCTCAGCAAATGCTCTTTTTCACCCCACCGGGTGCCCTTCCTGGTGCGACATCCTCCCTGAGACAAGGGGCTTATGTTGAGGTCTCAGCAGTCCCGTTTCCAGCCAGCCTTGTTTCTCCTCTGTCAAAAAGGAGACCAGGGTGACTTCACCGGGTTTCTTCGCCCATGCTGGGCATCCCTGATGTCTGGGTCTCTCATCTGACCTTGACATAGGCTGCCTTCACTGTTGTCTGTTTATTGCTAATTATTATATAACATAGGTAGGGTGAAATGTGCAAATCCTATTTATTGCTTAATGGATTTTGACACCTGTTTATACCCATGTAACCACCATTCCAATCAAGACCATGTCCAGAGTGCATGTCCGTTATCCTGGAGGGTTCCCTCATGTCCTTTGCAATCAGTACCTGCCCCACAACAGGTAATACTATACTTACCTCTACCACCACAGGCGAGTTTTGAGGTTTTGAACTTTATATACTCATTTGTATCCGACTTCTTTTACTTATCATTATGCAAATTAACCTTCTATTGCTGTGTAAGAAATCACCCCAAAATGTAGTGGCTTAAAACAACAGTCACTTCTTTTACTCACTGAACTTCAGTTCGGGTAGGGTTGAGAGAGGGTGGGTTGTCTCTGTTCCATGCAGCTAGGGCAGCTCGACTGGGGGCTGGATGGTCCATTTCTAGATGGCTCACTTGCATGGCGGGCTAGTTGGTGCTGACTGTCAACTGGTGGCTCAACTGGAGTCCTGGGCCGGGTCCTCGGTTGCTGTCCATGTCTCCATTGGCTGCTTAGGCTTCTTTACAATATGATGGCTGAGTTCCAAGAGAGCAGCCATCCCAAGAGAACAAGGTGGAAGTGCAAGGCATTTTTATGACCTAAACTCAGAGGTCACATCGCCGCACATTGGCCAAACTATATTTGTCGAAGCTAGGCAAGAAAGGCTAGGCAGGATCAAGGGGAGGGGACATAGACTCTATTTCTAGATGAGGATGGGAGAAGGTTCTAGAAGAGCATAAGGAATGGGAGATAGTGCGGTGGCCGTCTTTGGAAAGTACATTCTGCCACATTATATTTGTGAGATTTCATCACGTTGTAACTCACATGCATTTGTAGTTTGCTTTTTTAAACTGCTGTATAATATTTCATGGTTTGCGTATACTACACAATGAACTTTACTTATCCAGTCCACTATTGATATTTGAATTGTTTGAATAGTGCTGCTATGAATATTCTCGTACAGATATTTTGGTGGACAAAGGTGGCCTTCTATCACTATTGCTGGATCTTTAGCATTTAAGATTTTTAAAATCGTACAATTCTATCCTCTTATTTTCTCTCTCCCCATCAGTTACTGTAGACATATGTATTTTAGTATGTAAATCTCTGCCAGTGTTTTTAAAATGTTGAAAAGAAGTATTCTGCAAGTATTACAGAAATATGTGCTCATTATAAAAACTTTCAATACAATAATTAAGATTAAAGTTCCTTCTGACACCCTTTGCCAAGTTGGGCCCTTTCCTCCTACCCCAAGGTAACTCTTGTCACCAGTTTGGTGGGTCTCCTTCTAAAGCTCTTTAAAACATGATTTATTTTATTTATCTATCTATCTATCTATCTATCTATCTATCTATCTATCTATCTATCTATCTATCTCTCCATCTATCTATTTATTTATTAATTATGGCGACATTGGTTAATGAAATCTAGTAAGTTTCAGGTGTACAATTTAACAGTAAGGCATGTATATATTGCATTGTGTGTTCACCTCCCATAGTTAGATTTCTTTCTGTCACCATTTGACTCCTTTTACCCCATCTGCCCCTCCTCTCCCCTCTCCCATACCCTCTGGTAACCACTAGTCTATTGTCCATGTCCATGAGTCTCTGTTTGTTTGTCCTGTTTATTTGTTGTAAAGCTTTTTTGATACATTTACACACATACATATTCTCATAGAAAATGTTGTTTTCTATGTGTGTTGGTTTTATTTGTTTGGCACAACAAATGGCATCATATAACTCTGCAATTTGCTTTTTCACTCAAAAATATATCTTGGAGATATGACCATAGAATTGCATATAAATCTATTCCACTTTTTAAACTGCTGGATAATGTTTCACAGTATTATTATACCACTGTCCTTTAGCCATTTCTTTGTGGAAGGACCTTTAGGTTGCATTCTTTTTCACAGTTTTGTGTGTAACTGGAGGGCAGGCCTTCATACTGTAATATCGTTGGTACTTAATTGATATTAATGTACTCTGTCAAGAAGGAGTTGCTGGAGCCTGGATCTGTGCCTCTCAATGTCTCTTTTCTTTCGCCTGCAGAGACGTCTCAGAGAGGCTGTGCAGCTGCTGGAGGACTACAAGCACGGAACCCTACGCCCGGGGGTCACCAATGAACAGGTAACTCTGCTGCAGGTGGGGGAAGAAGGAAGATGGCAAATTCATAACCCCTTTCGTGCAGCCAGAACCTTTTTTCTCCTTCAGTATCCACTTCTACTGCAGCTACAGACCCTGTGGACTTCTGCCTTTTGGTGGGGATACCCAGATCCTCCCCATACCCTGGGTCTGATGGGAAGCATGGAGGCTGGTGAGGCTACAGAGGCCCAAAGGCAGTAGTTTGCTGCAGCTGATGTGTGCATCTTCCCAATTCCATATTTGGTGACATCACAGTGATAGCTTGAAATCTGCCACAATGGGAGTATTTACACCATGGAAACTGGCAAATGCTACAAATTAGGGCTCTTCTCCCGCAAAGAATTGATTATTAAACATTTACCAGATCCACTACCCAAAAGTTCAGGTTGAGGGTGGGAAAGGCAGGGGAGGATGGTGAGGCTAGGACCCTTAATTTCTTTTCTTATATCATCTAGGAACCTGAACTAGAGCTAATTGAAATATTGACGGTTGTGTTTAGTTTGGGGAGAAATTAGGGGGATGTAGTGTAGGGTGATTTTAATGATTATAGAGACCAATGGTTAATGCACCAAAAATCTTCCTTTTTGTTCATAAAATTTACTTTAAAAACTTATAAAAAGTTAACTGCATTTTTTTCAAAGTAATAAGTGTGAATAGTTCCAAAAGTCAAATAGTACTAAAACACTTGTCAGGCAAAATAGTATGCTGCCCCATCATCTCTCCTCAATTCCTATTCCTATTCCCCAGGAGCAAATACTTTTAGCCGTTTCTTCAGTTAGAAATCTCTGTTTCAAATGAATGCGCTCATATATATTGCTGTTTCTCAACTAATTCTTTTGTCTTCTCTATTATGGTAGTTGAGGATTCAGCTCTCTTCTTATCCACCCCCATAAACGCATTCCTCATCACCCAACGAAGATATGGTTTTGGGGTATATGGGTATTCAGGATTCACATTATAATTATATAAATAACAGTTACAGTAGAATCAAATTGGTTGAGTCATTATTATGTTTTCTGTTTTAACTTTATGTTCTAGCTGCAATTAATAATTGCCTCTTTTTTTCTCATTGGCACAGTTTTCTTTGTACCATCTCTAATTCTTACTACACCCTCTAGTGAGATTTCCAGTACCACCTTTTAGTCTGAAGACTCCTGTTCCTCAGTTCCGTTTCTTTTTTCCTAAAAATTTCCTTTCTGGGGCCCACCTCTCTCCAGCTCCAGGCCTTCCTCTTGGTGTACACTTTTATTTTGGGGGGACACTTGTTCTAGTAGCTTCCTGAAAAAAGAGTAAATGGGAAGAAATTTTTGAGTACTTTTGTGTTTGAAAAATTGTAATTCTGCACTCAGCCTTAATTGACAGTTTGGCTGAGGAGAAAATTCTAGTATGACAATCATTTTTTTCCAGAATTTTGAAGACATTGCTCTGTTGTCTTCTGGCTTCCAGTGTAGCTGTTGAAAAATCCAATGCTATTTTATTCCTGAGTCTTTGCAAGTGACCTATTTCTTTTTCGGGGAATGTTTAGCATCTTCTCTTTATCTATAAAATTTATTTCTGAAAGTCCACAGTGCCATCTCTTTTAAAATTCATTATTTTTGGTTCCTGGTAACTCCTTTCAATCTGAATACTTGTCTCAGTTCTGACATTTTCTTATACTGTTTATTTGATCACTTGTTCTCATTATGAACTTCTATTAGTCAAATATTCAGCATCTTAGATTGACACTCAGATTTTCCTATCTTTATTTTTTCCTCCTCCATTCCATCACTTTGTCCTGTTTGGCTTTGCAGAAAATTTCCTTGAGTTTATTTTCAATATGTCAGATGTTCTTGAGTTTATTTTCAACATGTCTATTGAAATTTAATGTCAGCTAGTATAATTTTCATTTCTGAGAGCTCTTTGATTCTTTCCTTGATCTTTTTTGATAGAATCCATTTCTTGTTTTGTGAATACAGTATCGTCTCATCTCTTCACATTCTGGAAGCCACGACAGGGAAGGAGGCTAGGGTCCCAAAATTCACTTTGCAGACTTTCAGTAATTTCCCCGCTTTTAGCCTCACCTCCGACCCCTCCACTATGCTAGTGTTCCTAAGTCTGGAGTCACTTGGATTCAGTTTCTCCAGAAGATTAATAAACCTCCCACATCTGGTGAGGACACAGGTGAGGGCAGTAAGAGTCACCTTGTTGTGTGGGGGAAGGCCTAGGAGGTCTTACGGCTTTGAGGACAGACTCAATCAACCCGTGTCTAGCCCTACGATTAGCCCTTTTTTCATGTGGTACCTGGTCCCTCCAAGTCCTGAGCTTTCCTGGTATCCTGATGCTGATGGGCTGGCTGCTTAAGCATGCCCTCTTCAGGCACTTAGGGGATGGCTTCCTCCTCTCTGCTGGATCAGTTCCTAAAATTCTGATTTTCCATCCAGAAACATGTTGCCATTTGTCTCCTGTGCAGCACTGCCCCTGCCTTCTAACACCTCTGGGCGCAGAGCCCATGCTGAGGCTCTGTGCTGCCAACCCTACATGCTGGGTGTTCCTAGAGCAGGCAGTTTAGCCGTCAACCCTCCCAGTCCACTTCATTTCAGTATGTATTTATGGAGCACCTACAGGCCAGGCTTAGTGCTAGGGCCTGGGAGAGAGAGCAGAGAAGAGGCTGGAGGAAGGTCTTGCCTCATGGACTAGCCAGAATCTAGGCAATGACACTGAAAACACGTGAAGCCATGGGATAGCATAGGAAGGAGGAACCTGCCCAGACGAGGGGTGTCTGGAAGTGATTTCTCTCCGGAAGTTTGAGAGATGAGAAGGGGCTGGTGGTGCTGGGTAGGAGCAGTCCAAATGAGAAAGCACATTGTGAATCCAGAGAGAGCAAGCCCCCCAGAGGAGGTGATGGGGGAATGTGCTCCACTGCAGCCTGGCTACAAGAAGAGAGGGCAAATGTGCAAGAGGATGCAGCACCTTGGCTGGATGTCCTTGTACAGGGCCCTAGAGAGTAATGCGAGATGGTGCAGCGCCTGGCTAGGCCGGGTGCATCTTCAGGCATCTGCGCTGCCTGCTGGTCTGGGCAGCTGTCAGTAGGAAGGGCAGGCTGTGATCTCCTTGTTCCTAACACAGTGTTTCTCTCTGGCCATGAGGAGCCCGGTGGCATGACCTGAAAGCCCCTCTCTAGGCTGAAGCAGTCCTCAGACTCTTGCAGTTCCTCTCAGACACATCAGGGCTGGATGAGCCTTTAAGCTATTCCTGACCCCATGTCTGCTCCCAGCCAAGCTCCTCTCTGGCCCATCCTTGCTGAGGTTGACCTCTGGGACTCTTTCCAGCTTCCAGAGTTTGGAGAATGAGGCCACATTCTCCTCTTTGCTCCCTTCAGTTGCTTAAAATTACCCATCCTGTTTCCTAGGCCTCCTTTGTTTTCTGTCATGAGAGCCTCCATGTGTCTTCAGGGAGTCGGGAGGAGGGGGAGTGGGGGGCGGCCCTAGCACTAGCTGTGTTTCCCTTTCTAGCTAATGTTGATGAGGCCTGCAGTGTCCATCTGGTAGCTGGGTAGCACAGAGTGCTAGGGTGAGCCTGCCCCCTAATAAGCAGGTACTCCCTCTCCCTCCCTTCCCAGTCCTCCTGGCTCCCCGGAACATTGGGGATTGGGCTCAGTGGCAGCTCTTACACTGCTTCCCTTCCCCAGCCTCAGTCTGCTAAGCCACACCCGCCTCTGGCCTCCATAGACACTGGAACGGAGGGGATAGGTGATGACATTTCAGCTCATGGTTTGGGGAAGCCTCAGCACTCTAAAATTAAGGACAGTCCTTGTTCCTGGTCCAGGCTGGCCCTGCTCAAGGGTCATGCCTGTGCTGTCTGAAGTGGCCCAGAGTCTTGGTCTCAGTGTTGACAGCAGCCTCTTCTACTCCCAGGCTCTGTGCCTGCTCCGATATCCTTTTTCAGGTATGTGAGTCAGAAGCCTGTGCCTGTGTCCTGATGCCTGCAGGCCTGTCCTGATGTCATGGACAGGCCTGGGTAACCTACATGCCAGTTTGTTATGTAACCTGCCCTCCAGTTACAATATCTCACCAGTGGGTATACACAAGTGGATTGACAGTTTGTTCATACCTGATGGCCTTGGTTTGGTCTTTTGTTAGTGGCTGACTGGGATCTCCTCCAGAGACTGTCAACATGTTAAAAGGTTGCTACACCAATGATAACATAAAAATAAGTATAATTTACTCTTTGAGCTTAACAGGTAGAAATTTGATATGCTTGGAACCCTAATAAGGGCTATCAGTTAAACAACAAAGTCATAGATGAGAGCAAAAATGAAAGCATAGGCAGCAAAGTTTCTGGGTGTTGACTCAGCTGTGTGCACTTCTTGTGCCAGAAGGGCTTGGCATGGATGGCGATGGGTGAGGTTAAATATGGAAGACCTTCCCCCCACATTAATGAGCCGCCACTCACTGCGTGCTTACCAAGTACCAGTCGCCATGCTAAGTACTAGCACTTTACATGTATTATTACCTCAGTTAATCTTCGCAGAAACCTTATTTGGTAGGTACCTATATTAACCCCATTTTACAGGCAAGAAAACTGAGGCCCAGAGAGGTTACATCACTTACCTAAGGTCACATAGCCAGTATGTGGTGGAACAGGGATGTAATTATGGGCCCGTTAGATCCAACATCTGTCTTTCTCCCACTATCCAAAGATGGCTTTGGAGGGGAAGGTGATACTCTGTGGAGCAGAATAATGTGCACAAACACAGGGCAGCGGAGTGAGTAGGCAGGTTGTGGGGTGTGCTAAGAGGATCTTGGCTTTTGTGAAGGTCTTACAGCCCCAGTTACACCTGTGTGGTTAATGCTGTCAATCCAGGCCATGTTAACGCTGTCAATCCAGGCCATGGGCACCTACTGAGCACCCACTGTGTAAAAGGTGCTGAAGTAGGTGGGCACCGAGGGGGAAGTGAGCACATGCCACAGTTCCTGCCCTCACGCTGCCAGCTCCCAGCACAAGTG